CGGCCCGGCCTCGGGCCGCCTTCCTCGGCGCCGCTGGGCTGCGCTGCTGGTGCTCGGGCTGCTGATGGCAGGGGCGGCGGACGGATGCGACCTGGTGCCCCGGCAACTCCGCGGGCCGCGGGCGGCAGGCTCTGCTGGAGCGGCCGCGTCTTCTCAGGCTGCGGGCGAGCGCCCGGCGCTCCTGACAGGTGAGGCCGGTGGAGTGTCGGGCGGGCTTGGGGGGCGGGGAAACCCCGCCTGGCAGGATCCCCGGACTCCGCGGTCCCCGCAGTCCAGGCGCCCCGCCGCTTCGCCTCACTTCGGACGCCTTCCTTACCACCCTGACACCCCGCCCTCGGCTGAGCCTCCGGACGGCGTTGGCTTCCCCGCCCTTCAGTGGGGTTCTGCGATCTTCCGAGCTGAGCAATGCAGTGGTTTCTGTTTCGTGCAGCCGAAGAGCCACTTAGGGTCTGCAGGGTCCCAGGCTGCATTTCCCCCTTTCTTCTAAAGCTGCTGGAGAAAGTATTCACCAGCAGTAGCAGTAGCAGTAGTAGCAGCAGTAGTAGCAGCAGCAGCACTGCGGTATCCTGGTCGGCCTCTGCTGCCTGAGAGCCCCGCTGAGCGCAGCGTCTCGGGGGAGCTGCTAAAGAGGATTCTTGGAGAGCCGCTGCACCTAGTGGCATTCGTGGTTCCGTATTAATAGGAAGAAACGTCCAAGTCTCATGCATATTTTTTAAGGGGTAGTAGGCCGTGTTAAGGGATGGAAAGCATTTGTTGTTGGGAGATCATCACTGGGTTACAAAAGGTGTAGAAAGCTCGGCAGGTAACCAGAAACACCTAAAATTTACCAAGTGCAGGATATTTGTGACGTGTTATTTGAGCAGCACGGTTCTGATGGACTGCACCAACATCTTTTTAATACAGAACGTTCTAGGACTTAATGAAAAGTTGCAAATGTGTTTGGTAAGGTTAAGTAGAAAATTGTATGTTTTAAAAGTCTTCGTTGTCTTATATAACTGATCTGGTGTGGTTTAAGCAATGATGTAAAGGTCCTGAAAAGATTTCCAGGGGAGAAGTGGAGGAGCTAAAGTAACTCTTATTTTTTAAGTACTGCGTTTATTTCTAAAGTAGATCTGTAGTTTTCTGCAGGAATAACAAGGTTAAAGAGGAAAAAGGAAAGAGGAATAAGATGACCCATCATTAATTTAACTTAAGTGATAGCCCAGCAGGCGCCTGGAAGTTGCTAACAGCTGCTCTGGGAAGTGCTCAGGAGATAGAGTCTTTAGATCTAAGCAGCTATTCTCCGAGTTCTGTGACAGACTGTTTCCTGTCTGCCCTAGGGAGAAGGAGGATGTTGGTCAACTTGGTCAGGCACTTTGGAAGTTTAGGGTGTAGACTATGCAGAGCAGTGTATTTAACATGCGCAGAAACATCAAACCTGTGGAATGGAACTGAAACAGTAAACCTGTGGCTGGCCAATATGGATAAAAGATTATAGAATAAACAGTGTTAGGAACATAGTCATGTGAGTGATACCGGATGGTTTTAGGCTCAAGGAGTTACTATTTCCAAGTAAAAATGTAGCAAATAGCGCAGTAAAGCATAGTGATAGACCAGCTAACTAGGACTATGGGTTGAGGGTTTAATGCCTCCTGTGAGACTGGAACAGAGCTGCTTTGTCTTCTAGGAGATATAGGAGTGTAGTTCTTTTGGGGAGCAGAAATGCTTGATTAATAAGTAATTGCATAGTGATCTAGAATTTTGGCATTTATTGACTATTTTATACATGTGTATATTACATTGTGTTCATCATATTAAGAAAATAACCTCAGATGGAATTTTAATAAGCTACAATCCTTTATGTTTCTCTGTGGTTATTTATGACACTGGGAAAGGAAAGGTGATTCTTACTGGGAAAGATCAGATATATCACACAAAATGAGTTTGTGTTGTAGTGCTTTAAAATAAGTGTACTAAAATAATGTTACTCCTAGAATTATTTCTGTTGATTTTAATTTTTTCCTTTTGTTAGAATATTAATTTTAAGAAGTGAAACATTTCCACCTAAGTTTCAGATCATAAAAGCTACACAGTGTCCAAGTTGAATGCAGTAATTTTAATACGTTTATGTAAATATACTCAGTAGGCCTGGTGTTTTGGGAAATGTAGATTGAAAACCACTCATGAAAATTAGAACATATTACAATATTAGAAAATATTTTAAGTGGCTTTAAATTCTATGACCTCTATAGGACACTTTCTCACATTTTAGGTTGTGTGAGTAGTTTTTTATGATTTCAGTTTTTATGTTAAGCCCAGAACACAGACTGATAGTGTTATTTTACACTTTAGGAAGCGGAACCATAACATAAAATACAGCCATGGTATATTCTAGATAGTGTTAATGGATGGATGTGGACCTGAGCATCAGTAAAGAGACAACTATACTTTATGTGGATCTTGAAAAGAGCAAATTTTTGAAAGAATTCTGAGAATCGTTCTCTCTGGCTCCCGATTATCATCATTTAGCTGTCAGTGTTCTCAATAGCTTTGTAAAATAACAGCCAACTCACTTTTTATTCTTCTCTCCAGATTAGTATTTTTGTTGCGCAGTGTTACAAACTTCTTAAGAATTTGCCTCTTTTTAATAGAAGTCTGGAAAGCATTCTTTTTTACTGAAACTTGCCTCCTAAGGGTTTCACTTTAGTGTATTTAAAGAATAAATTGCCTTTAAATCTGGCTTGTGCTTAGTTTTAAGCAAGAAAAGTGTTCTTACAGAGACAGGCAGTGACATTATCAAAATAAACAGACCCATTGTCATAATGAATATGGGATCATAATTTCTTTCTCTTTCCATATTAACTTTTCATAATCCAGTAGAACCAATATTTATCATAATAAAATTTTAAATTGTGTAGATTATAATAGTAGAATTTTATATTGGGTATACTTATTTTTTTGTTGTTAAAAGAAGTAATTTAAATGATTGATGTTTACAAATTAGGGGGCTAAAGAGATGACTCAACAGTTAAGGACATACACTGCTCTTGCAGAGGACACAAATTTGATTCCCAGCACCTACATTAGGTGGCTCCCAACTACCTGTAACTCCAGCTCCAGGCAGATCCATACCTCTGGCCTCTGAGGGCACCTGTGCTGACACGCACAAACCCACACACAGACACATACTTAAAGAATAACAAGGTAGGGATTTGTGACTAGAAGTTGACTGATTATATTCCAAACCATACTTTAATGGTTCAAAATACTGCTTTTTAAAATTTTTACCTAACAGAGTGTCAAAGGCTTGACTCCAGTGGGGAGCGCCTGAGCTTCATTTAAGTATTGATATAATAGTTCTAAAAAACGTGGAAAAGCAGAGCTCTCTCTCTTCTCTTTCTGTCTCTAGCTCTGTCTCTCTCAATCTTGTGTGCGCATGCAAAACAAGTCTTTACTCAGTAAATATAGAGTAATTGAACGCTAATTATTTTTATATGTAGCTAATTGCCTCAGAATTTTAAAGTTAGCTTTAAAAATTTATTCTGTAATTTTTAATAAAGTAACATTCTTTAGTGTTTATGTAAAGATTCTTAAGTAAAATACTATTTTACTAATTTGGTACATTATTGGGAATATAAATGAACATTTTAAAATATGTGTGTTAGATGTATCAAAATCTCAACAAAGCTAGCCGTGGCAGCATACACCTTTAATCACAGCACTGGGAAGGCAAAGGCAAGGAGAGCTATATAATGAGTTCTAGGCCAGTCAGGTTGCATAGTGAGACCCTGTCTCAAAACAACAACAAAACATCAGAAACCTAAAATATTCTTAGCTCAAAGTATAATATATTTAGAAGGGCTATATTCTCCAGAAATGTTAAAACTACGTGTGTTGTAAGGCTTTCACTAATTTAGATGGGAATAGCTTAAGTTATTCTTTTTCAAAAAAACCCCCCAAAACAGTAAGCTAAACGTTTAATGCTCTTACCTTGCATTCCTAAGGTTTATCAGGTAGATGTTACCTCACTTGGCAGGAGTATAGTACATGAGTGTTGCTTTGAGTCATACTCAACACTAGATTTGCTCTGCATACGCTGCTGTTTGCCCTGGGACAGCAGAATGTGATTTCCTGAAGCCTGCTGAAGCTCCTCTGCATTCTTCCCCATTCTGTCATTACTAGACATTTCTTCAGCTGGCTATTCTTGCACCTGTGTTGCATTCTAGCCATAGGACTAAAGAGCCTGCTTATATCCATTTCACTCAATCTGTTCTGAATGTTTGAAGATGAGCAGTAATCTCATTTGTTTAGCAACATACCATCTCTTGCTTCCCTTCCGAGTATATCAGGAACTGTTGATCATTGTTGGATCTCAGCTTGGGAGAGCTCAAAAGGGCCAGTGGGAAATGTGGGTTTAAGATTTAACTTACTTTTTTTTAAAAAAAAAAAATTTTATTTAGTATTTTTTTAATTTTATTTTATGAGTGTTATG